AAAAAAAAGAGGAAAATCCACAAAAGGAAAAAGAGTGCCTCCCATTTGCCATCAAAACCCGTGTGGAAGAGAGAAAAAAATTAGAAAACATTAGGATGAAAAAAATATGAAGAAACTAAAGATGAGGAGGAGCTAGGGGCACCAACCTCTCCTCTGCCCATCGGAATTAGACCTAACAACTGCATGAGTTTGGTGTATTGTAATACAAATATGACGGTATGACTGTCGCATCGAAAAATTACTCCTCACACCCGATGCAGCACTATATAAGAATTTCTACCCAAAGAAACTTAATTGGAAATTTCTAAATAAATGTGTAGGTTAATGTACAGCCTGTTTTATAATCGACACAATTGTGCTGCCCAAAAGAAAGGGGGGCTGCAAATCAGGCAGAAAACGGTGTGATTGCCTGTGTGAGGTTGCTGGAGTTGTGTTCTCGGACATTACCAAGCAGACCACTGTAAAGATAGGACATGGAGTTTTACGTACATTATTAATTGGAATTAGACTACACGTTATCATCAGACATTCTACCAGATGCATTATTCATGCCACTGTGAGTAATAAATTTCCAAGCAGCTGTACTTGCGAGAACTCTTGCCCAACTGCAATGACCGCAACAAGAATCAAGCATTGACATTGCAGTGGAGAAGATTTGTTATATCTCATGCCTTGATATTGCCATACCAGATCGCTTTAAGATCTTTTGGGCTTTTTGGCAGTATCACCTCAGACTTTTGAATTTAGGATCCAGAAACTAACTCTTTCAGAGATGTGAAAGGTGAGTTGTATCCATAGACATCAGCATCTCTCCATAGAGCCATTCCTGTAACGAGAAGAATATCAGAGCTCGTTATGCCGAATGCTTAATCAGCCTAAGCATAAAGTGAGAAAATGTTCATATTAGATTTGATTATTTTCTTTGCCGATACTATCATTTTTCGGAGGGTGATGATGTAAGAATTGATAATACTGGAAAAAGAAACAACCTATCCACAAAATCAAACCAGCTGTTGCTGCTAAGAAAAATTCCTTGCTGATACTGTTGAAACTGGAATTACAAATAAGATACCGTTTCTTAGTAGAGATCAAACTTTCTACCAAAAGAACATTAGAAACTATGAATAACCATAAATCAGGAACAATTACCAATACAAGCACACGATATTCCCATATCCATAAAACAAAGAAGCCCAGGTAGAACCAGTGAACCTGCAGTCATTGTTTACCGTTATTCTTACTTAAACTCAGTAATATAAACCCATTATTAAATCAACAGATAGATCAACCACTAGAGCAGTTTAAGAAGTACATTGAAAAAGATAATTACCATTTCACAAAAAAAAAGAAAAGATAATTACCACATAAAATCACGAATAAAAAGGGCACGTGGGATCATAAGTCCATTCCCAATCATTGCAAGCAACATCGAGAAAGCTGATAAACCTTTGATGTTGTCAGGATTTAGGAAATTTGTCCACTGAACAGAAAGCACCAATTGTTGTCAGATGTATAAAAAAATTAACACTAGAAATTCTAAAACAGTACCATTTGCGAAATTGGCATCCACATGAAAAGAAGTGTAGCTGTCCATCCAGATATAGCTCCAACAAATTTGATGCCTTTTGCAGAGAGCTTCCCCAATCGCGCCTGCAAATATAAGCAGATTCTAAAAAGATGCACGATAGAGTGTCCTCCTGTATTTCTATCTTAGCTTTGCAAAGAAAGTTGAGAAATTAAAAGGAAAAAGAGTTAAAAGTTTTTCTCATTTCAGATGATAAACAAACAAGCATCACTCATGTTAAAGACAAGAGGTTAACTTCAAAGCAGGTCCCCTTTAATCAATTGACTATGTCATGATTCAAGTAACAGAATAAGATTCTTTGACTTAAAAAGTAAACAAAATAAGCATTTTTAAGACCTACCCATTTAATGCGTCCTCTCAAAAGGCAAACTTACACCGTAAGCAAAAGTCAATTGATTTATATCCTACAACGATTTAAGTGGTAAAGGTCTGTGATTAATTATTTTCATATAGTTATCATACTATCATTATATAAAACAAAAGAGATATTTAATTCCCCGATCAAAGGACTGTGATCCGTATTACTAACAGACAGCGAATAAGGAGATCTCAAAACAACTTCTGGTTCTTTTTGGCATACATACAATGATTGCATCACCGAGTTTTCTAGTCTAGTCTTGATTTTAACAGATTGTATTTAGACCTAGAAACCACCAGAAACAAAAGAGGCCATTAACAGATCTACTCCACCTGATGAAACTAGGAAATGCATTTACATATAAGGCATATGAGAGATCACTTCAAATGAGTGTCTTATTTAATCAGTAAATGACAAATATTTAATCTCAGAAACAAGGAAGTTCATGCACATTTTATGTGTAACACTATCTACATGTTGATCACACAATTTCTGAGGAATTATATCTTAATACATCAAAGGACCAAAAGTCAAAATATAACTCAACATGGGGCCAAACTTACCATAATAACGGCCACCAGAGCAACAAGAAAAGCAAATACTCCAGGCAAGATACTGTTGGGTATATACGGAACAAACGTAGACCACATAATCTGTAACAAAATTATTAACAAGAAAATCAAATGAGAGAGAGAGAGAGAGAGAGAGAGAGAGAGAGAGAGAGAGAGAG